CAGAGTGTCTCAAACTTGTGCAATGTTTTGCACATCTATGTATTTTTGACAAAAATATCAAAATATTAATAATTTATGCAGTTATATAAATGAAAGATTTTCTGCAAATTATATATAATTCGGAGAAGAATTTTAAGAAATCTTCATTTTTATTTTAATAAAATAATTATTTAAATTAGCATCAAATTATTCAATGTTAAAAATTAAAATATATGTTAGGAAAAATAGCGTTGAGTTTAATTTTCGTTGCAAAAAAATTGCGAAAAAAATCAACTTTTAAATTGAGATAAGAGTTCGTGGATGAAAGCTTTTCGTCAGCAGAGTTGAGAAACATTGTGTATACTACATAAGCAGACATCGACCGCTCCATGGTACGATGTCCCGAATCCATATTCCGTGCCAGGATGCACCTGCCTGCCCGACAAATCACCGAACTTATTCCGCGATAAAGCGCAATTTAAGCTTTCGTAGAGAATCCGCAGTGGACAGAAGACGAGATCACGAAGAAGCAACCGCAGTAAAGCTCGAGAAGAGAAATTTGCTCGAATTCCTATTTATCGCGTACAGAGAAAGTGCACCTCTTCCCACTTTCATATGACTGGATTGCTATAATTGATATTGTCACGATGGCACATTATTTATCTTTACCGGATACGAAATGTGTCTCTTTAAATCAGTAGTTGAGAAAGCCAAAGGAAAAGAATATGATATTTTTGTAGTGTACTTATATCGCGTTTGCAATCAAATTCTAATTTTCTTAAATTAAAAATTAAATAAAAACGCACAAAAACTGACTTATTATTAATGATTTTGAAAACTTATAAAAAGAAATTGCTAAAATGTTATATACAAATAATTTGTATTTAAAAATAAGAATCGTTTAAAAGCGATGAGATAAATACTTTATTTAAAGATTTCGATTTAATCAGTGACGAATGGCAATGCATTGAATATCTCCAATGAGATAAGAGCGAGTTAAAGAACTCGCGCGAAATGAAAATTACCGATATCGCCGGCGGCGGCTGATTTCATATTTACGGCAAAACTAATGTTTCAATGCGCGTTACCTCACGCAACTTTCTCAAACGACATGATTGATAGATATGCCCTGGCGTAGACGCGAAACGAGTGAGTCACGCCGAGAGACGTAACCGCCATTCGCATATGGCACAGACTGTAATCAAACAGGATCTCCGTACGATCCAGTGAGCAGGAGCTGCGAAAATGCAGTTCTGCATCCCGCGTTACCGCAAAACTCGTTGTGGTTCGAATTTACAAGACGATATGTATTGCGTAAAAAATACCGTACAAATGTCTATAAAGGTATCTCGATATAAAAAAATTGACCGAATGTTTCTAAAAAATCAATTATTTAAATATTAATTTTAGAGAGATGCGAGATTTCTTATTCCAAGGTGAAATTTACAAGTTAGACTTCTTGTATCGAATGCCTCATTTAATAAGCATAAAATGATAGCGTAAGGTATGATCGCGTGCAATTCTTAAGCGGCAAGACATCTCATTCGAAAGTTCATTCGTCTGTGTTTACGCGGGCCAATAAGGGTCAAGCTGATCAACCAGTCGAGACCGTTTCCGGCGGGTATCGTACCGAGTGTCGCCGATACTGTTGATCGAATGTAAACCGACCGCAATGGCGATACCGTTACCGATTTTTAGCGCGGTTAGCACGCGAACGAGCTTGCGGATTCGAGCCGCAAGTCTCTATGCACGCTTCTTGCAAATTCGATATCTGCATATTCGATATCGAGGCTTCATGGTAAAAAATAGAAAAAAAAGATCGCACAAAAATGTAAGCAATACAAATTATAACTGACAAGAATCTACTGCGAAAAAGCACAGAAAGAAATGTAGAGATTTCGTAGAGTACACTGAAAAAAATTTTGTTGAATATTCCCAAAAAAATATTCTGTTGTAGTAACTGTACATCGTTGTACTGAACTCTTTGTTTTGATGATTTGAATAAGCTTTTTTTACATCAACAAATTATTTCGGAATATTTTAGTTATATTTATTTGAACGTATCGGACAATATATTTAGTTGGGCAAAACAAATTTTGCCTTTTTCAACCAAGTTTTTTTTTCAGTGTATATATTGTCAAATTATGATTCTTAAATATTTTATACTGAATATCAAGATAAAAAAAATTTTCTTTCTTCACTTTCAGTTGATTAGAAAAAAAATTGATTTTAGAAATTTAAAGATTTAAAAATTTTTCTTTCTTCACTTTCAGCTGATTAAAAAAAAATTGATTTGAGAAATACTATTTCTTTTGAGTCAGAGAAAATGAAAAGTGTAATGAGCGGTACCCTAATTGAGTGGAGAGCGTCAGTTCCATAGGAGCCATCGCGATGATGGTACCGCGTTGCAACGCATCCATGAAATCCGCTTCAGACACTTCCTCGGTATTCATAGAATTCGAAACAGTTTCAGTTATCTCCGAGCTTTCGAACGATGTGGAAGTCGTGGATGTCATTGTCGTACTTTGTAGATTCTCACCTGCAACGTCGTGCGCGACGAAAGGAAATCGAACGGAAGTGAGATGTTAAATTGACGCTGCGACTGACGTCTTTAAAAGAGCCGCATTTAAAAGCTATTTCATTCTAAATTAAATGCTGATTCTAAATTTTATTTCGATTTGAAGTAGTCGAAAGGAGAGTAACTTTAATATAATATGGTCATTGAATTGGTCAATATCAAAATATTATTAGTATATTTTGATTATAAATAAAATGTTTTAATAAATATTTTATTCCGTTTTATATAAATATTTTAAGAATTTATTACAACGCGTAATTTCTGAATGTTGACTCTATAATCTGTAATTTATAATTTTAATCATAAAATAATTTTGCATCTTTTAATGAGAATATTTTTTATAATTTTCGATTTGATAAATCACAATCTAATCAGAATAATGTAGATTTAAAAAAATTTACTGCGATTTTAAGTTTCCGAATACATCACTCGAGTAGAAACATTACGTGTTTGATTCTACATCTATCTCGTGAATAAGTCGAGACTGAATTTCCATGAAGTCTTACTCGGTTCGACATCGCGATCGAAGGTACTCGCGGAGAGCACGATGGTGTTTGTAGCGGAGGTCGTGGGTTCATCGGGGTCGACTTCGGAGAAATAACTTGCGAGGTCCTGGCAAGATTCACGCGTCCTTGCAGCATCCGCGACGGAATGATGCTCGGATCGATAAATCAAGGTATTGCTCTTCGTCGTACTTTGTTCGTTCAGCGTAGATGCTGACAAAGAGAAAGATGGAGAAACAAAGAAAAAGAGAGAAAAGATTATCTTTTTCTTTTTTAAAGCTATTTTAATTCATCAAGAATATAAATATTTACCGCTGTCAAGATTCGCGAGCTCGTCTCTTTCCTTAGAAACATGAGGTTCAATAACATGATGATTTATATTCTTTACTTCGGAATCAACTTCCCTTTGATTCTTTGATTTTATGAAACGCTTCAAAGGATTATGAAAGGTGGACAGCTTCGATCTAATCTGTGCATTACATTCGTTAGACAACGTTCATTTTTTTTATCAAACGTGAAATACGCATTTTGTTTCTCCTCCATATTAGTAGAGTCGATTAAGTAACTGCTTCATTAACGTTTTATATTATTCGAGTTGTACAATAAATTAATTGCCTAGCCACTCAAGATATTATAGTTTTACTCTCGTTATCGTTATCGTTCATAGAATCGAAATTTCCGCAATTAATATGACCATAAAAGATCAATAATTACGCGCTGTAATAAGAACAGAAATTGAATGGAATCCTTACACCTCCGTTAGGCTTTCCGGTCGATATAACTCATTTTACATAATCCAATAAACATACAAAACTATAAGAGTTTGTATTAATTATATTAATATTTATTAATATTCATATATATATATTAATATATATTAATTTTTATATTAATATTTATATGAATATTTATATTATAAAAATTTCATAGAGTGCATGAGGTAACGTTGTAAATTAAGTCGACTAAAATATATTTCTACACTATTTTAAAATATCTGCGTCTTTTTCAATCATGTGCTATTCATCATGCTATCGAGAAATCCTAAATATTATATTCTCTATACTATATTCTCACCTTCTGATTTATCGCGGAAAATAGAGATCGCTTATCGGGTTTTCTATGATCGAATTGACTAAGATTTATATCATCCGCGAGAACTCGTTGTTCCGGGATATCTGAATTCTGCGATTTCGAAGCTTCTCTATTAGTAGCTGTATTACTCATATCTGAATCATATCGACATAATAAAGACAGGGCAAATCAACGGTACAATTCTAGATACTTATCCAATGACACAATTCTACCTATCAATTTGAACGTCGTGCCATTTCGGTATCGACTATTGTATTTGGTCGAGTGACTTTTGTCAAATACATCACAGACTTTTGTCAAATCATACACAGTGATATAAAATTCTTATTAAATGAATACGTATAATAAAATTTAAAATTTATCGAAAGGAGATAAATATTCTCCGAATGTGCATAATTTACAATTACATATTACTATAGTGCAAAAATTCAATACTGTTCTGTAAAATTTACGCTATTTCAACAAAAAATAATGTTTTAAATTGTAATAATTAATGTATTATACTTTTTAATGATAATTGTAAGTGCTTGGAAATTATTAATTTCAATTTCTTATTTTTAATTTCAATGAGTATAAAGTTTTGTATTATTTTATTATATAAAAAATCATTAGAGTATCCCTTTATAAATAATAAAAATAAACATTTTAAGAGACTGATATTTACGGGATATTGAACTGTTTCGAATATATTACTGCCATAATTAAACATTGCAAGATCCATGTGTTTGTATAGACTTTTTACTTTGTTTTCCTTTACGAAACACGTCCCTGATCGGCTACTTCGTAGTAATACAAAACAAGGATACCGTTGGAACGCGAATGAAAATAATGAAATCTCGACAACTTACTTGATAAGTATAAGGTGTGCAGGGTACGTAGAATTCTCTGCTCATAATAGACGGATCGCCTGCTGGCGACGGCGAAGTCCAGCTGACGGATCGTCCTTCGGCAAGTGTCAAAACGCCGGTGGCGCCATCTTGGTCTCGCCCGGATTTGAGCGAGTCGTTAAGTTGTCACGAATGGGCAGGATCACCGAATCCTGGTCGCGGACGCACGGGCCATTCCTTGCCTGCTTTTTCGGGGTTCATACACGTCGCGATTAAGACGCACGTACTTGTGTGACCCGCGTGTCACGCGTCACGTAACGTCACGATGTGTCGCGTCGCGACGTTCAGGTCGTTCGCGTCAGCGTCGTCACTGGCAGACGTACGATAACAACGACGATGACAAGGACGACGATGACGATAACGATGACGACATCAACCGGCGGGGATTTCTTATCTCGACGCGCGCGATTCACTAAAGCACACTCGAAATGCACACTATAAATTTCACTCAACGACGTTGCCGGGTTCGTCGGCCCAACACGATCATGGCGCACTTCGGTCGATTGTCTACGCGAGAGAACGACGCCGCGGAATCTTACGAGATCACCGTTCGTCAAACACGCGACGAGAGATGCGCGTTAGATTTTATTACGCCATTTTTCGATTATCGACGCGCACAACGCTCTCCAGGGCACCTTTCGCGTGTACCTGCGATAAACAACCATTCACGCTCGCTGTCAAGTGCCGACTGACGGCGTATTACGAATCGTGAGGACCGACCGTGCCCGAATGTTGCCGAAGTGCGAGTCGATGGTGGCGCCATCTTTGGGTCGATCGTAGTAACATCTCCTCAAAAGCCGATAAATCAAGCACTTGATTTGATCAATAATGTAGTTATTAAATCAAATGTTTCACATTAATTCCTCGCGCATTGTTATTATTGATGCAATTATTATTTACTAAATTATTATTAATTAGATTTTATATTAAATTAAATTATTCATATTAAAAGATCGATTTCTAATATTTATTCAATCATACGTAAAAAATCGTTTTAAAATATATTATTATTATATTTTGAAATATTTTATATATATTTTATTTTCAATGTTTCTAATATATTGATCTGAGATATTATATACTGCATATATCAAACTTGTACAAATCGGAAAAATGATAATATAAACAAAGTGTTAAAGTATTAATACTTCGTTAGAAAATTAAAATTTAATTAGTGTATATAAATACACTATTGTACTCTACATGCACGTAGCAATCCAAGTAGAAGTTCCCGCACGTGCCTTTGCACAGCAAGGATTCGCGCCGCAGGTAGCGCAAGTCACACCTGGGCGCGTGCGAGGTGGTTGTCCAGACGAGGGATGCTTTCGCTTTTTCTGAATGACGATATTTCGCGGCACCAAAATGTCATCCCACGGAATCTCGATGTCATCGGGGACGCAAGTCTCGTCTTCCTTCGGCGCCCGTATCATCATTGATCTCTCCAAGGCCAAGTCACCCCAGGGTATCTCCACCGAGGAGTCGCAGGCTTCCGGATCGTCCAATGCGCTCTGCAGGGTCTCCGTGATGAGCAGATCCTTCCACGGTAGCATCATGATGCCCGCAGAATCCTTCTTCTCGGTTTCGATGGGTTTTGCCTCAGCCTCGTCCGCTTTCCGATCGGCTGCAGCTGTCACGTCGGGTCGAATTCTCACACCTGTCACTGGTAGAGCAATGTCCTTCCAAGGTAACTCGATGTTGGAGTCGCAGGGCACGGACTCGTCCGAAAACTCTCGACGAAGGGTTTGCATATAGGGCTCATGCCAGATCTCTTCCTCCGGATTGTATACGAAGACCTGCCTTTTCCTCTTGCAAGGATCTCTCGTTTTCTTCTGATGCGCGTAAAGTTTAACGCGGCAAGAGCACAATTGCTGGAGTATATTGCGTTTGCTAGAATATTGCGTTATGTTCGGCATAATCGCGATGATATGGATGTCGTGGTTTATACTCGTCGATTTTTTATTCTCGTTAATTTTCCAACTTTATATCACGAGAGGGAAATGAAATCGATTGAACGTGGATGCGAGAGATTTCGATAAAATAATTATTATAATTATGGGTCTGTTCTTTTCAGCTGCACTGCTGCACTAATGCAATTAGTTAAAGTGAGTGAAAGAAAGTATGTTTGTTTCTTTCTAACTTATTGCACTAGTGCAGCAGTGTAACTGAAAAAAACAGACCTTATAATTATGATATGAATTACTGTCGAATATTTTTTTAAATTTACAATAGTGTAATTATGTCATTGTAACTATTTGTAATTTTTTAGTATAATCCATATTATTTATATATGCAGTACAACTAATATAATTCGTTTTATTTCTATTAAATTCTTGTTAAATTTTTTATCACACATTTTGTTATATCATATATTACATTTTTTTTATCGAGGAGACTTCGAGTGCTTTATTATCTTAAAGTAGTGAGTAGAGATAATAATGTGCGATACTAGTATCACTTGAATGGTATGGTGAGGAATATGAGGAAAATTCGAGAACGTTCTTTCGTAAAAGAATTTTTTACTTCAATGCAAACTTTGGAAAAACCGATTGGCAAATAAAAATTAAAATGCATAGTGCGTAAATAATGCACACATGTATCATATATTAATTCATTGACTCTCAAAAATAAATATTAATTATCTTTTAAAAAATGATAAATATACATTATTAATTCATTAATTCGAAATAAATATTAAATGCCTGTCTTTCGAAAGGATGTATAACTTATGAATTTAATTAGAAAACATGATAATATGTTTGGAGATATGTGTGTGTGTGTGTGTATATATATATACATATATATACATACATATGTGTGTGTGTGTTAGTAATTTAATTAAAAAAACATTAGCTTCAATGTGTGATATATGATAAATGAATAGAATCCCTCCTCGTCAAAGTGAGACGTGTTAAAGCGCTTGAGAATTAGAAATCGATGGACAATCGAGAAAGAGGGAAAGTTTATTCGTCAATATCGCCGGCGCAACTTCCTTTACTTTAGTTTTGCTTTCGTTACCTCGTAATAAAATCCACACGCATGGAGCGAGATACTCACGCACGCGGGATGTCACGAGCGCGAAACGTCACGTTGCGTCATCTGTCGACGATGGTGGATACGAGGTGAAAAAAGTAGCGCCGATCGCGCCGATAAAAGGAAATCCGCGGTGGCTGCCTTGGCCCGGTTGCGAGATTGTAAGGAATAAGCCGTGCCGCGTTGGCGTTTAATTACGACGGCGAAAAGCGTTGCGATAAAAACGCGACGAACGCGACGTGCTACGAGCGTGCGAAATTCATCAGCCCGCGTCCTTCCGCAAGCGAAGCGTCGCGTGTCCACCGTGCGCGATTCGCGACACCGCGCTTGACCAGCGCAGTTGGGCTACGTTTAGAAGGCAGCCATCTTGCAATCCCTAATCAAAGATCCACGGCTAGCGGGTATCGCTGTCTGGTATTGCGGCCAGTTAATATCAACACACACTTCGTCAAATGGCTTTAAAGCGAATTAATAAGGTACGTGGTGACGTTCGTCAGCCGTTCGCGCCGCGCTCGCGGCTTAACCGGGCGTTGTCGCGATTCGTGCTCGATTCTACGCCCCTCGACGAGTGCATTCACGTCGAGAGCTAATGCGAGGAGCAATGTGAGCGAACGGGCGAGCATCTCGGCGGCCTGGTCCACCCTCGGGACGAGCTTCCTGGTCGTTGCCCGGCCGTCGAGGCCGCGATCACCGGCCGGACGATGACGGAGATGGCGGTTGCGCCAGAGAATCGTCTCTCTCGCCGTCCCAGCCGGACTCGGCTGCGGTGACAGTGAGGATCCCGGAGGGATTCTGTGTAGTTTTGTTCCCTGATAGATTGCCGGAAGTAACGCGAGAACGTGTATTTTTCTACAATTTGTTCCTGTATTTTATACGCGTGCTCCGGTATATCGACTTGTAATAGGCTCTTGAGATCTCTCCCTTGGTGCTCCTTGCTGGGCTTTTGTGTCCTCACACATATCCCCATATTTCTTGCAGTGTTCATGAACATTTTTTTTTAATTCTTTTTTTTCTCTTGTGATTTGCTGTAAAAATGTCATAGTGTATATTAGTAAATTAGAGTGAATTGCTCGACATAGTGTGTATTCACATTATGAAAGCCAATCATATTTGATTTGTCATTCGTATTATTTATCACAGAATGGACTATGATACCGAGCAACAAAGACCTTAATTTTAGATTCATCTGAAAAGTTTAGCGAAAAGTTCCCTCTATTTCTGTAACTTGTATTTCATCTTTACTATGGCATTTTGATGTATAATCGTAGAGTTATTCAAACAACATGATATAATAATTATGATATTTATGTTTTTTAATTTTATTTTTTATTGTTATAAAGATATTATAGAAAAGATTTTATACAGACAATGAATAAGCTTGATTCGAAAATTGATTCTCTTCATTGTATAGCGACATTTCATCTCTTATCACTATATATGTACACGAATTATCTAGAAGGTTCTATATCTTGTTGAGAAAATACTATATGTGTATATCTGTTTATAAATAGCAAAGCTCTTCTAAGGAATAATGATGCATTATATGCAGGATTATTGCAGTATAACAAGAAAAATAAATGTAATTTATATTTATATAGAATATGTAAATTTATTCTAAATATAAATTTACATTTCATATAAATTTATATTCTGTCTCTAATTAAAAAGGATTTATTCTTAATAAAGTATTATATTTCACATTAGTTATAGATTAAGAGATATTAATTAAAATAATAACATATTCATCTTTGAATATTATATATAGAGACATTTTTAGAATTTTTTAAATGTTATTTTCCATTTTTATAATTTCAGGAACTTCAGGACCTTGGTAGAGATCCGCCAGCACAATGCTCGGCTGGACCTGTGGGAGATGATTGTAAGTATCGAACGTTTGCTAATTGAACATTTAGAGTAATAACAAGTATAAATAATATCGAGATATAAACCAAGTTGTGGGTCTCAAGACTTGACATTCCAGAGAAGATCTTACTTGAATTGCATTTTTTAAATATAATTTTTAATTATCTACATATTGAAATTATATAATTAAAATATTAAAATAAATATATAACTTATATCATGATTTCATAATTATTTGCATGTAACTATTGGACATAATATTTTTCCAGTATTCCACTGGCAGGCAACTATCATGGGACCAGTAAGTGATATATCCTTATAAATTTAACATATTTTTAAATTTATTTTGCATACAAAAGTTTTAAAAATTATTGACTTGCAATTGACTTGATGATTATGTGCTATTTTATATGCTTTGTTTTATATGTTACAATGACATACTTTTACATTACTCTTTCTCTAAATAGATTACTAACAAATATATATATCATCAGGATCTGGCAAAATTATAAAATTCAATTATTAAATAATGCATATTATATATGTATATATATATATATATTCAATTTTCTTTCAGCCTGATAGCCCGTATCAAGGAGGAGTATTTTTCCTAACAATACACTTTCCGACAGATTACCCATTCAAACCACCTAAGGTACATAACACTGTAAAAGTGAGACTTTTACGGAAATAAATTTGCCAGTTCTAATTCTTTACTTTTAATTGCTTACAGGTCGCATTTACGACTAGAATTTATCATCCTAATATCAACAGTAATGGAAGTATTTGTTTGGATATTCTAAGATCGCAATGGTCTCCGGCACTCACTATATCAAAGGGTATGTGTATTCTCTCCAAATTGTATTTGAGAATATATATTTTATATAAATGATACTATCTAACCTAACCTAACTTTATTGATTACTTTCCAGTGTTATTGTCAATATGCTCTTTGCTGTGCGATCCAAATCCAGATGACCCATTGGTACCAGAGATAGCCAGGATATACAAAACCGACAGGGAGAAGTACAATGAATTGGCACGTGAATGGACGCGCAAGTATGCCATGTGATGCGCCAATCTCCGTTGACTTCAACATCCAAACACCACCAAGAAACAGCCCCAGCCTATTGCCACTTACGCATCAGCACCGATTGAAATTAGCTATGGCTCGTATACTTTTAAACTTTTAAGTCAGTATTCGGGCTCGAGGAATCCTCAGGCAAACGTGATCGATCTGAACTTCCCACGACTCGGGAAGCCCCGCGAATATTAAAATATTGCCGCAATGGCAATTAAGGCAATTTTGAAGGTGGTCACCCAGCATTATATACACTGAATCAGATAACAAAAACTTGTCCGCTTTGTTTTTCATAAATAAAAAAAAATGGAAGTAACATATAGGAGAGTGAAAGTAGGATTTGTATTTAAATCTAATAGACTTGATTTTGAATTATTGTGCTTATAATAATTGTAATATTATGATATACCTACTTTCTCAATGGAAATGGAAACTTTGAACTGATAGCACATCGATTGTTAGTCTTAACGCAAGTGAGCAATGTTTGCCCGTCCCTTGGAACAATGTGGTCACTCTTTTGTAAGACTGGGCTATATATATATATATAAATATTACTGAAACTGTACGTGTATGCTTTGTTCAATTATTAAAATTCCTTATACCTGACAAATTCTACGAGTAACTCGAAATCTGTGCTTTTGGTTCCTGTGTGTGTGTGTGTAGTAATTTAATTATGCATATCGGCAGATGGCAACCGTGCGATTTTAAGTAATCGGAAGTATATGCAAATGCTAAATATAAAAAACACATAATTATTTGATCTTTAGCATATGTACCTGCAATTTCGTGGGTTTTCACTATGTAACTTATCAGAGGTAACAAGAGTGAATTGCTCGTGTCACGAATTTCTTTCGATTGTCAGTTTTCAAGCTGATATGAGGAACTGTTAGTGTCACTATTTATCAACAAGGATAAGTTCCGATTATTTAAATTCATATATAAATCGTATTATTAATTAGATGACAAATATGTTGACGACGTGAGAAGATTGCCATCGGATTCCTAAAATCTCGGCAATTCGTATTTCGTCTCGTACTATAGTACATAAATACACATTATTAAGATGTGCGTTATGCGCGTATTGCGAGTCAGGAATTCGTTTTACATTCATCATCCGTCGCGACATTAGTTTATTTGCATCGATACTTTTACTGCTGTTTTGCGTGCAGATTTGCATTTGTTTAAACGGCAATTTTTTATTATTATTATTTTAATTTAGTCCTTATAATAATCGCTCCTTTCTCTCGGTATTTTTTCTTCTTTCATCCACAATATAAATTTACGACATAAGATCACGCTACATTCTATTGGACAAAAACGATAGATTAAAATAAAATCTTATTTAAACATTGCAACTTCAATATTATATTTCTAATATATTGTGGCTGTAAGAGTAATGTTATGCGATTATATATTATTTCTTTAAAAAACCTAGCTATATACAAAATGAACAAAATGTGTTATTAAAATGTGAAATGTCATTCAGCGAGATAGTTTGTTTAAGATTATATAAACTACATAATTGCACTACTTGATGGTGCTAGCAATGTGTTTTGGCTTCTAAACATAGATAAATAAAATCTGATACGTCATGAAATACAATTACTTAATTAGTGCGTAAGTAAAATGACTTTGTCTTGCGAAAACATGTAAAGCACGCGTTATAACGAAGCGTCTCGATGTAATCGGTGCTTAAATATGGCAAGCTGATGGGGCGACTAAAGGAATCTAGAGAAGACACATAAACACAATACACATACGCAACACATACACAAAATCGATTAGTATGTAATACGGCGGCCCGCTGTTTACGCCGACCTTGTCTCATACGAACGTGTATTTGCTGTAATTTAATTACAAGTAAACACGTCGAATCTGATATTTAAAAGTTATAGTCCTCAAAGAAAATTGATCATCGTTCACCTCTAGTAGAGAAGATGACTCTATTCATGTGTATAATTAATTATTACTACCGCAATAATGAACATTTTTAATAACTTATCTTGTGTATATTTTAGCATTAGCCCTTTATATAATAAAGTCCACATGATGATAAGGTAATAGCGAATCTTTTTTATCTTCGCGGCCAATCACAGATTTGAACGGGCGTATGATGAATCGATGATGCGATATATTAGCCGTATGTGTCTCACGTTATATATTTATCATATACTTATCGTTTGCAAGATGTATAATTGAGGATTCTTGCCGAATTGTAAAAATACCGTATCGACACCTGTCTTGTTCGAAAGTCTTAATCATCTATAACCACGTATCTTTCCTAAATCTTCAATGTCAGCCCGAAGCAATCTATGTGAAAGTAACATGAAACTGATGTATACTGCTAAAAATTTTGTTGCACGCGATCTTTAATGAAAAATTTCTTTCTGCTCGAAAATGATGGAGAAAATTTTGCTGAAACTATAATTAAATAAATATTTAAACAATGAAAGAATGTAAGAGAGATGTATATGGAGACATCATGATTGAGTAGTCCGTTATTAAATAAATTTATTTTATTCAAATGAGTTGAGACAAAAAGAATAATTTTCATAAATGTCAAACTAGAAATTTCGTACAACTTTTATAAAAGAACGTTTCGAGGAACATTGAAAATAAAGGTATAAAATAATAAACGAGAAAGAAATCTTCAAGAAAAAGCGAGATAAACTCTATAAATACATAAAAAGCAGTATACGCATACTAATGATAAAAACTAAATCTTTGTAAATTGATCTTATATAATCATGTACCATATTTACATATGTATGTATTTCATATTGCGAGAATGTTACGATATTGAAAGATAACGCAAAAACTTTCGGTGATCAGCCGATCCCGAACCTCGGAGAATGAGTGGACACTCGCTGTCCGAGCAACAGTGAAAGTATTCATGTGTTCCCCTTTATATCTGGAACACGCGAGAGGGACTCGAGCGGTTCCTGAGCGTGTGTTCCTCACACGGCACGCATCGAGAGCGACCCTGGCTGACGTCGTGCTCGTCGCCGTCGTCGCCACCGCCGCCACCGTCGCCGCCGCCGTCGTCACCGCCGTTCACTACCAGTGTTCTCGCCGCGCTCAGTGCGGTCGATCGTGTTGCGATTCAATGCGTGGTGCAGATTCGCACATGCGAGGAATTTGCCAATGTGCCGATAGGACATAGGCCAACCACGAGACTTCGATGTGACTCTCCGCTTCTTTAACTATCTGCAAAACTGTCAATTATCGTTCTTCAGGGTACGTGCTCGTTAAGCGTGCTCGTTAATTGATGCGGGTAAATCAATTTAAAAATTATTTCGATAAAATTAATCGATCATTATGGGAAATAATTTTTTATTTATAAATATTCAAGGTATTAATTATCTTTATTTGACAATCAAATTAAGCAGATTTTAAAAGATATTTTTTTTTGTAATATTAAAAAAGTAAAGATTATTGTTTATAAAGGAGAAATTTATAACAAAAATAAGCGTAAAACTCAATGTACAGCGAAGTATTGCAATCATCTTTTATAGAAAATATACGAAAATAGTTATTGAAAATATTTCAATAATAGACTTGCAATAGACTAATTGCAAAAAATATCAATTAATGATAAATTAATTAAATTTTTTTTTTGGATATTGCATGCGCATGCAAATCGATTTGTATTGACAATGAGAAAATCTCGTCTTTTCATAAGTCTCGTATTATGTTTAAACTTACATTGAATTAAAGCGAAGTTGGAATGTGTATATATGTCTGAATATCTGAATAATTGATACAGTGGCAAACAAACGCTGCATCGATGTTGGCACCGAATGCACATCTCGCTCGATGAATTCAATGTCATCTTGTTCGAAACAGTGCTTTATAGTAGTAGGACTTTGTCCTCATACAAGTGAGGAAGTGATAACGTAAGATCGATGATTAAATAACTCTGCGCTTATAGATCGTTTAACTTGACCAATCATGAATATCATAATGATACACACATAATAGAGAAGTAATTACATGTGTTATCTTTTCACGATTATTCAATTTATTGTCAATTGTTAAATTGAAAAATTTGTTGCGTACAATAGCACTAAGAAGAGAATAATTTTAATTTAATTAATAAACATACATATGTAGAACGCTATATAAATCAATCAAATTTAATGACACGCATCTTTATCTATTTTACAGATTATAGAATCATGTTATTAAACGATATTATTTGTTTCTTCTTGATTGTTCACAAAATAATAAGTGCACTATACAATTCCATTGTACAGCATAATTAATTACTCATTAATTACTCATTAAGTAATAAATATATATGCATATGTGTAAAGTTTATGTGCTAAAATGCAGCTTTCAATATTAGCAATGATCTGCAATTTTATACATAGGTTTTATGGAAATCTTGATGAAAAACGAAGATTTATTAAGATTGTGTTTCATATTCATATTTATTTATTTACGAAGAGATGTAAATATATTTAGTTAATGCGTAAATTTCTTAGACATTGATTTTTTTAAACAGATCGTATAAATATTAAAATAGATTAAAATTGTAAAAATTTAATATATTAAATTAATAGCATATATAATTTTTGTGTAAATATGTGATACATATTTTATTTATGGACATTATGTATCATTATTTTTGCATTGATCTAACATTCACTTTTGCATCATTATTATTATCGCAAAACACAAATAAATAAATGCGAAATCGTGTATTATGTAGGAAAACTCGAAACTTTAGAATTATATGAATTGTTACGTAGACATGCTATACTTCCTGCTCGTATAATGGTGAAAATATAATTTGTACGATAGTGCTTTTCACCGGGTGCAGACGTACAATCTCAACGGACTCCAAAGAGTGCCTTCAACTTTCTCATAGATCAGACATCGCGTGACGTAGAGAGAGTGAACAAGTATCTCCTTCTTTCATCTCACATGGAGTCCAGATAAAAAGACAACTAGGACAACGCGAATCTCGGAGCACGCTTTTTTGCTCGCTTTTGACACTATCCGCGCGGTGTTGTATGTTGACACTTGCACATATTTCCATCTTATTTCCGTTTGGGTTAATTAACGATTAGAAATTCATATATAAAATTTCAGCCTACTATTCTTTCAGCATAACCGCAAGATTTCTAATCTTTCGATTACAGGCAAGCGCTTGAAAGTTACTTGCGCGCTTTTTAATTTTCTTCTTACGCAGTATTATATTTTTTCTCTTTGCGAGAAATCTCTCTCGACGATGTACCGATTTTTTATTCAGGCGCAAGGAAATTTGTTTCCATTTAGACCGCATCGCGTAAGAAAGCGTTTGTAATGGTTCTTGCTTACCTTCTATTTGCGTGGGGCAATCTTCTTTTGAGAAAGCGCACCAACGTTACGTGAAAAAATAAATCTTGCAAATCCGAATCTTTCAAAGTTTCATAATATATGTATAATAAAAAATATAATAAAAAATATAATAAAATTTAAAAAATATAATAAAATAATGTAGTAAAACCAAGGACATACATACATAACAGACAACTTTGAATTTTGCTTGAATAATTGTTAGAAATTATTAAATTATTAGATTATTTATTACATTTCTCTAAATATAGATATTGATTATAGAACAATAATAATATCTTTAGAGACTTGCTATTAAATTCAGTTCCAAAATCAAGTTCCAAAATTCTCTTAAATTTAAAATACAAATGCATATACACATCTTTTCGAGATATTTTACATACGTTTAATCTCAGTCTCTCGTAAGTATAATTGTTTAAATTCTAGCGTGTCTTTAATTCTACATCATGTTTCAAATGAAGATTATATGTTTGGACGAGTCTCAATCTTTGATAGTTGTATTATCACGAATGCTATTGTGACAAACAGTCATCTTTAATCTTTCTCTATCATTATTATATCTCTCTTTCACAGGAAGCGGGTGTTACATAAAAGGTCCACGCTGTTTGAACGATGAAACTACTTGCAGGCGTAGAGGAGGTTAGCGACCACTGTGAAAAAGAGTCTAATAATGGTCAACTGCACAACAATAATAGTCATGAAAAGCAATCTGCGACAGAATTGGTTCAAGAAGCAAGCAAGCCACTCGTCAACAAGGTCAGTCAATGTCCTATATGCATTGCATTGCACAAGACTTTCATTAAATTCAAAATAAATTAAAAATAATTGAGGAAAAAAGAATAAATTTGAGAAACAGTATAAAAAGGAATTAAAGCAAAGGTGAATAAATGTCATGCGATTATGCAGCGATATACGTCACGCGAATTTCGTATGCTACTGTAAATGAAGGACATTACTAGTAATACTTTGCAGAAAATTGCGAGCAATCGATAAGTTGTTTCTAGAAACTAGAACTTCAAATGTAAAGAGGATAGTTAATATGCTCTATTTCTTGTTAGTGTCATTCGTTTCCGTTTTGTAAATTGAAGACCATTTTCTAAATTGGACGACTATATAATTATTTCTTCTTTTCCTGTGTATAATTATTTCTTTTTTTCCTGTGTATTCAAAAAAAAATCGACAGAATTTTTATCCTCATTATTGGGAAAACTCGACATTTTAAATAACAATTAATTTAAATAATAAATAATAAATAATTTTTATTTTGCAAATAAATAAAACATTAATTATTTGTGGTTTATAGTAGAAATGCATTAACATGTGCTAGATTACTAGATTATAAGTCACGATAGATAAAGACAATTGACCGTTAATTATTCAGTGAGTATCTATCAGTGAGTATCTACATGAAAAAAGCATATTGTCCTTTAAAATTATATTCCGCAAAATCTGAATATTCGATCATTATTCTATTTTAGCCGCATAACGATAACGTTCTAATCGCAATGGATATTGCCAATGCAACGACGAGAATCGATTTCGCTAGTTATGAACTTATGCGGCCGCGAGAGGAAAGCAGACGTAAACTTGACACACACGGATGAAAGGCAGGTCCCGTTGTGGCCTACTTACCGCATTTGTATCTTCGAAAGATGTAGTATAACTAAAACGTTCTTTATCTACATCCTCGTCTACAATTCTTTGCGAATTACTGGGATCGTTAACTCGCTTTCTCGAGACATCTTCAATTTACTCGAATGATTTTGTGTTTTCACATGATATTAATCATTACAGGATCTATTCTAAATTAAACAGATAAATAATCGAATTAATATTGGATAAGTTAATTATTATTTAATCAAATTCGATACTTTCGATATTATTAGATTGAAATTCTATACATTAAGATTTATATTTTGAAATACATATAATTGAATATCTCTTTGCAATTTATGCAACTATTTTAATTTCTCTATTAGAATAATATATTGGAGCAAGAGAGAGATAGAGAATTTTAGCTCTATTCTATTATTATCTAATTATTGCAAAAAATAATTTAGAAATGGAAAGAATTTATATAAGTCAACAATTATAAATAATTAAGTCAGATTAAAAAAGAAACTTATTGTATCGTAAAATCACATCACATCCATTGTTGGTGAGACAGTTTACATTGTTGAGGAATGCAACGAATGAAAGCAATGAAAGTACTTCGTATTGTTCAGAATATTATGAGTGCTACGAAGCGTTCTTTTCCTTTACATAAGATACATACTTATTATTGAAATCTCGATTCGATTACGTGCGCGTAAGATAAAAAAGAAACTAGAATATTATTTCTTATTCTGTTCAATACATTATTGTTCAATGTAATGTGTAATTGTTTTATACGCAAATATTACTGACGGTGTATCTGTTAATAGATTTTTTGCTTCCAGCAAATTCTTGCAATATATTAAAGTATTAGTTAATGAATTTTCTATATCATCATTCTTCCGGAGGCTCGACGATTCGGGGTTTGATGATTCTACGTTTTCATTGGTACTTGGTTCTTGCATTTTTTTAAATCTTTTTTTTGCATACGATGTTCCGAACTAGCTCTTGATCAATTCGAATGAACTCAACGTCTAAAAACCGTTGCAAGGACCCCAGTCACAAAAAAAAACATCTTTTGATTAGATCAAGTTAGATAGATTAGTGAACATCACACAATAACATAGATATCCTTACTCACAGATATCCTTACTAAGAAGCACATAATAAGATACCTTTATTACGAAGGGAACTTTCTATTTATTAATATATATTTAATAATACAAGAACAAAAATCGTGGCGAAAATAAAAAAATAATTAAAAATTTTTTTGCATAGCAAATAAATTTTAATTAAATAATGTTTATTGTATAAAAAACAATGACTTACTGATTAACAATGATTATTATTCATAATTATTACTTCTCATTGCATAGCAAATAAAATCAATGAGTTTTAAATGTAATCATTTTATAATTAAATTAATTTGTTAAAATAATAAAAATATATAGTAATTCGCTTCAATGTAGATAAAAAAAAATTCAAAAGTAAGATTTAAAATTTAAACGAGACACGCAGCGTACCCATCAGGCGCCTTACTGTTCGATAGATAACAAGTACGTAAATTTTTAAACCTCTCAAATATTCGCGTTTTTCTCTTACATTGTGTTACTTTACGACGAATTAGTGGGAGGATGGAACTATAATATATATTAAGTTCAGCGAAATCGGTGATTCCACTGTCTGATGTTCTCCTTGTTATACTGTATTAGAGATAAAGATTCCTAACTAAAATAAAAAGTACATACATAATAAATACACATTATATATATATATATATATATATATATATATATAATCATTATATTCAATCTAATCATTAATATGTATATACTGAAAATATATTCATTCAAGATTTTACTTTCTAATAGCAATTTTAAAGCTTTTAAAAAAATTTATTAAGTCTTTTAATATATACTATAATATATTATATTAAATTATTATATATATGTATATATATATATATATATATATATATATATTAAACGCACACATTACTATCTGAACATAAAAGTCCAACATAAAACTCCAACATAAAAGTTTGGAAAACATCGTACAAAATAAACGTTTAAAACTTTAGATATTTTCCTTTGATTTCATGTTGGGACATATTGAAGAATATATATATATATATATATATACACGTATGTTTAAATTTTCCGTTTTCGAATAGGTATGCGACAAATCAACAGCCAAGAAAAAAGTTGTACCGGAAGAGGAAGAAGATATGAGACGATTGCTCCCGTTTGAAAAGGCACCCAAATTTCTTCAATATAATCCTTACATTCTGCGTGGTTATCGAGGCTGCTTGACCACCAAACTATGCGTCGAAAGGTTGAGTTTAATGTTCCTTAACTCATAAATGTGTAATAAACGGGCTTCGAAGATAATGGACATACATACATACATATTTCGATGCGGACAACAGCATGCGCTTTTTCACGGAAACATTGCGTTTTGTAGCATATTTTGGTGGACAAACGAGACCGTGAATATATGGAGTCACATCTTTGGTTGGATGCTCTTCTTCGGTCTGACCCTATATGATCTCTGTCTTTTGAATATTCACGCGCCGTTCAGCGACAAATTAATCGTGTCCCTGCTCCTTCTTTGTTTTCAGGTAAGAAAATCTATAGAATGTAAAAAAAAATATTTTCGTTGTAAAACGTATATAGCAAAATGAATAAATAAAATTGCCTTTAGATATGTATGATCCTTTCATCCGTATATCACACGTTTTCGTGTCGAAGCGAAAAGGACTATTGGTGCTTCCTATCCTTCGATTTGTTCGGTATTGCTCTGAGCATGCTGTCGATCTATTTGTCTGGTGTCTATTATGCCTTTTGGTGTCACAAGGTAAAGCGTGCATATAATTTTTATCTAATAATTATATCAACAATCTCATGCAAAATTTTAGGTATTTAAAAAAATTTATTATAAATATATATATATATATATATATATATATATATATATATAATACATTATATTAAATAATAAATATATATATATATATATAATACATTATATTAAATAATATATATATATATTATATATCATTTGTATTTGAATATTTAAAAAAATATTTAAAATATTTCTATAATTCCATATTATGTTAACGCGATCGATAAATTAAGCTGATTTCGAATCAATGAATTTTTTATAGGAATTACAATGGTTCTACCTGATAACTGTTCTCGCGATCTTCATTTTCGCAATGATACTGCAAATACCAAGTCTAAACATCAACGGTAACATTAAGCTAGCTGTATTTGTGTGCTGGGCAATATATGGAGTGTTGCCAACGCTGCATTGGACCATCGCGATGGGCGGCTTTGATAATCCGATCGTTAACTTGCTCATCCCGAGAGTGATAGGAATGTACATTATTAATGCAATAGCGTTCGCGTTCTACATGTTCAAAATACCCGAACGTTTTTGTCCAGGTAATTATTAATGATTACCTTATCGATTATCGTAATAGCATTCTTACGATATAATTCACTAAATAATAAGATAACTGTACATTGTCATATGTCAAAATAAATAATATGCCTTTATCATAGGTTGGGTAGACTATGTTGGTTCGTCACATCAATGGTGGCATGCATTGGTCGTGCTAGCTCTTTATTATTGGCATAACAGTGGAATGCTTTATGTGGAATATAGAATGAATCATGGGTGTCCAAGCAGTAAGCCATTATGACATACGGATTCTGACGGCCAGCCAGGTACGTGAAATAATAGACATAATTCAATACCAGTTGCGACTACTAGGCAAGTACCGTAAATTGCGTTTAACCACATTTTCGCAATATCAAGTATAGTTCATATCTCGAGTCGCACAAGAATATCCATTGTATTTTAAATATTTATTACTAAGAAGAAAGAAATGTTAAACTCTTAATTAACTCTTTAATACATAAATATTTGTCATATATACACAATGTATATTTGAATAAATACTTAAAAATTGAAGATATATTTTGTGCAAAAAAGTTCATTAATTGTAATATTACTTCGTGAAATTTTAAGATTACTGAAACTACACTGGATTACTGCAATAAGTTCAAGGTTTACGACTACAAACTCTATTACAGCATCCGTCCTTGCCATGGATTGTGCTTGTATGATGAAGGCTTGGTCGTCTTTGGCGGAACCACCGTTTTACAGTATCTTAAAGAATACATCTTGCCAGATACAAAATCCACTACGAGCATACGCATATCGATAATTTCGATATGCTTTTAGGAAATACAGATTAAGATTTTTAAATGAAAAAAGATATTTGAATATTATTTACACTGTTCTCTAGCTCAATTTATATTCATTCAACATTATTATTTAAACTTATTTTGCAAGAGTATAAACGATATAAATGAAGGATAAATGATTGTATCCTAAATCGTGTTCTTTTTTCCTTAATAGCAAGTCTTTAATCCTAGCAGGATTAAAAACCAATCAATTAATTAATCAGCGTCATTAAAAACATTCTTTACATTTATAATTCCAAATAAAAAATATATTTAATGTTATAAATATAAATCTTTTATATATTAGATTTTCTATATAAATAAATTTTAACTAATTAAATTTATTAATAGATTTATAAACAAATCTTTAGAAATTATAATAACAAAAAAATGAAATTTTATAGTCTTCGTCTGCCGCTAGGATTAAGTAAATAAGTAAATCTTAATTTTTAGAGACATATCTTAGTTAGAGTTGTTTGTTCTTCATACATTTCACAGAGACTGGAACGTTTCAATATAAATCAATAAGAATTTAGTGTCTTTTTGTGTGACATCTTTTTATAAATATTTTAAGAATTATGTTAAAGATATTTTGAGACATGGGATTTTATTTGATGTTTTTCCTTTATTAAAATTTACTAATATTTAATGCGTGCAACGTATTTTATAACAAATTATCAACTATACTATTAATAGTGACAGAGTGACATTGACGATTGCTTTTGCAATGCAACCAAAATCGGGATTCTTTATACAATTTCACAAACCATCAAACTTTCAACGCGTACTTATGTGTATAATTTTCAACTCATGTAAACGCACATTTTTCAACTCAACTGTAAACGTATAGGTGTACTAAACATGCCAACATCAGACACAATATATATATTCCATCTAACTAATTTCAATAAGAATCCCATGTTTTGGAGAGGTAGTCTTTTACATAATATTATATAAATATGTAGATATATATATAATATTATATAATATTATATATATAATATTATATAAATATGTAGATGATAATAGCTGTAATATTGAAATAATGTTGTCCCCTGAATTGTTGAAAAATATGAAAAAAATATATTTTATTTATAAATAAGAACACACACACATATAATTTTTCAGCCAAAAAATTCCTTCTTCGTAAAGAAATCTGTATAATAATTTACAAGAATTTAAAAATGAATCAGATGCTCTTTTTAAAGTTATAAAAGTAATATATTTATTTTATATTATATCACCGATATTCTAAGATTCTAAGATGTATTTATTAAGAATATATAAAAAAATCTATTAAATTGTTTATTTGTTTTGCGTTCTCTCATTATTCTCTAACTTTTTATATATTTCATTATAATATTTTTTTACATTTTAAGTTATATAGGAGAAAAAATAAGTTCATAACAGAAAAATAAAAATAAAATTTTTTAAATATTTTTCTTGATTTTAAAAATGATATATATAATGTGTTATATATATAAAATGATATATATAATGTGATTTATGGCCCGAAAGAACAGATATACAATAAATATAATATTAAATATTAATTACATAAATATGTGCAATAAATAAAATAATAAATATTAATTACAATAATTTTTTTATAAATGTTATTAATCATATTATTTTAAATCTCTAAATGATTTAAACTTCATTATTTAATTTTTTTTAGACAATGACTAACTTATGTTACAAAAGACATTACTTTATATATGAAATTCTTTTCTAAATTAAATAATATTTTCTCATTTATAAAATAATTTTTTTTATATTTGATTCTAAACAAACTTTTAAATGATTATTAATTATTAAATTAAAAGTTTAATAAAAGTTTTTTTTTATTTAACGAAAAATTGCATCGATATCTGGAATTGTCACTGTAATCTAATATATTGTTTTATACGCGTTTTAAAAATCATATGTTTCATTTTGCCTCCATCTATTTTATGTAATATTTATAAAAATAATACTTATATTGGTGAATATTTTATTTTATCCAGCTATTGCTTTATTATTGTTACATTTAAAACATTTTGCAAAGATTTAGTTACCTACAGAGAAAAGACTGTGAGATGTATCATGGTACCGCTTTTAGATGATCCCTGATACTCCTTCTGTGGATATTAAAAACATGGACATGAACTACAAAGCCAATGTCCATGAATGTTCTCAAAGGATAACATATAATGCGCACAATTTCTGATTTTGTTCTGTGCTATGTGCATGAACTGCCGGTAGCGCTAATGCTGTATAGCAAGATATTGCTTATGTATATAAATTAGTAGTAAATAAATTATTCAATCGCGAAAGATCTGAAATCTTCCAATAATATTAATGTAATGTTAATGTAAAGATGAAATAAATATTTCTCTATATGTTTCTTGTCATATTTATATATTTTTATTTACAAAACACAAAATGCCTGCTGTGAGATAAAAACATTTTTAACTGTATTTCTATAATCAATCATTTTTTTAATTATTTAAAAATTTAATTATTAATACATGTATAACATTTGTTAAATTGATCACTTCTTCTGAAGTTTCTATAATTAGGATTCGAAAAATATAGATGTTGCAAAATATTTTAAATGTCTCTTTCATTATATAATATATAAAGAATTCATATGTTCCATTCTAATATAGTCAACATTATTTATATATTTTTATTATAATTTTCATACCAGCATATTTTTATGCTTAATACTTTATTATAATACAATGTACTAAATTATAAAATTTAATATACTTACAAAATAGTATTATTATTAATAAATAGGTTGTATGCACACTGCATTTTAGTTTTTAATCATTTCCAATCACTATCCAATCATTTGTATTCAATATATTCTATTCTTTGAGTTTTCTTGGATTATTATGGTTTATTGTATTCCTTTGTGTTAACATAAAAAATTATCACTTGTCATACTTGTCCTTCCTAAAAAAATTTTAATGATCACCTAATAGCCCTAACAATCCTTTTTTTACATTATTTTATTTTTTTATTTATTTTTAGTTTACATTATTTATTTAATTTATTTCACTTTTCGTTTTTTAATTTTAAATAATTTTTTCTTTGACAAATTTGACTGATTTTAATACAAGCATCGTCAAAATAATGAGATACCGAGGCATTTATTATTACTTTAGACGGCACACTTTATAATTGACTCCGAAATAAAACCTTTTGTTATTTTTTATCACATCATCACATTTTCGCTGAAAATGGCCCAAAAATGGATCGAAACGTTCGCTAACTTTTCTTTATAATTTGTTCCATTCCTATTTGATTGTATAATAAATAATTGTGTTATAAGATCGACACTTGACTCGTATTGCCATTAAAACTGATTTGTTTAATTTTCTATTTCGAGTCTTATACTTTTTTATTAATTATAATTATTGAAATATTTATTAATCTGTTAATATTATTTAAACCTACATTTCCTGATTCTTTAAAAGATACATAATATATTAATCATCTAAATTAATCAAATAATAATCCTAACAATCCTCTACTTCTTGAAAGGAAAATTAAAAAATCTTAATAATCACCTGATAGCCCTAACAATCCTATTTCTCGATTAAGTGAAATTATTCGAGCCTATCTCTAATCACGTATATTTTAAATTACGTGCCCTAATTACATTCTCTAACCGCGTGCCCTAATCTCGTGAATAAATGTCCAACATTACGTACTATTGTACGTAAGGCTTGCCGTCCGCGGCACGTTGACGGCACCGACGACGCGAAAGGGTACTTAGCTTCCCTTTCAAGCACCTTAAGATTTATCATAAATAGAAAAATTTAAGATAAATCTCAAGACACCATCCAAGTACTAAGCCCTCCCACCGCGACAAGGTGTACCCCATGGGAGGGTTATATTATATATAATTTTATATATAATATAATATATACAATTGCAGCATTTATTTTGCAATGTAGTATATAAATTTAAATTTGCATAACAAGACCGTAAAACAAAATCATTAGCACGGTATTGTTTATGTCGAATATTATGTTATTCATTGTTGAATATCATTATTAAAATATAATATAATTTTATTCATTATTAAAATAATATAATTTGAAATGTAATACAACATAATTTAACAATTTTTTTTTTTTTTTTTTTTTTACGTGGGGAAAATGCACCTTATGCACACCCCGTCGAGACCTATTTAGCGGTCCCGTCGGGGTAGTGTTGGGCTCTCCCCGCCGCCATTTTAACGGCAGGGACTACCAACTAAAAACCCCACGCGCCTTTCCTTAGTCTTCCAACGCGCAAGTCCCCGGAACCATGTGCATAAGGAGCATTATATGGAGTAGCCCTAACAAACTACTATCCTATTATATGTTCATAATATTCACTATATTCAATATTATATACATTCAATATATATTCACAAATATCTGAAAAAAATAATTTTCTTAATATCTTCGATATTAAACTTTAATAATATAAGCTGTTTAGATAAATTTATATAAATAAAATTAATGAAATACAATTAATGAAATTATATATATCTCAAAATATATATAAATATATAAATTTTATAAAAATTATTATTTAAATTAAAATTTTAAATACATAAATACACAAATATCTATATATAAGAAAATAAACATATAAATTTTATATAAAAATTATTATTTAAACTAAAACCTTAAATGTATATATAAGTATATAAATATATAAATTTTGTAAAAATTATTATTTAAATTAAAACCATAAATATATAAATAAATGAATATATAAATTTTCGAAAAGTTATTATTTAAAAATATTATTTAAATTAAAATTTTTTTTGAAATTTTAATAATAAATCTTTTCATATAAATTCTATTCATTCTTTAATATCTATTCTTTAATATAATTCTTAATTCCATTTTAAATCTTTCAATTTCTATATTTAAAAATAACTTATAAATTCATAAATATACGAAATTTATTATTCATATTACTAAAAAATAACTTAATATGCAAATTTATATTTTAAATTTTTCATATAAAATTTCGTATTACATAAAAGTACATAAATTTCGTATTACATAAGTACATAAAATTTCGCAAAAAAATTCGCATTACTATACAAATTATTGAGTGTTAACGATTTAATTTTCATCCTTATATAAATAAAATACCTATAAAAGAACACTCAAAAAATATTGAGCCCTTAAAAATTCTTAATGTTAATAATATAATTATTGAAATATTTATTAATTTGTTTTCCCTAATATTAT